GGGAGTTCAGAGCCAGCAGGTCTGTGCCCTCTCAGTTCTGGATGCCAGGAGTCCAAAGCAAAGGTGTCAGCAGGCGGTTTCTTCTGGCAGCTCTGAGGGAGTCTCTGCCGTGCCTGTCGCTGAGCTGCAGTTGGCCCTGGTGTCCCTGCGAGTGTAGGTGCATCTCTGCAGTCTGGCTTCCACTGTCTTGGTCCTTCTTCCAGTGTGTCCAGTGTGTCTTCTTGCAGGGATGCCAGCCATTGCATCAGGGGCCACCTGGGTCCAATTTGACCTCATCTTAACTTAACCAATTAAATTTGCAAAGACCCTATTTCCAAATAAGGTCTCATTCACAGGACTTGAACATGTTTTGTGGGGGTGCATCATAGTTCAACCCATAACATATACCAATGGGGTTTAAGAGGTTTATACTAATTTAGTGATGCTTTGTGGGCAGAGTAAGTGGTTTTGTTGTGTTTCGGGGCCCAGATGTGGATCCGGAGAGGGAAGTCGGAACTGTCAACATCAAACAGCAGAAATGGAGTCAGAATCCTTATTATCCTAAGCAATTAACCATGTATAGCTGACCACACTGCAATGAGCAGTGCCGTATGTTTACTGATATTCCTCTGCGCTGATGGTTTTCTGTGCCTGCTGGTCATACTGGCCCCATCAGGGAAGGAGCCAAATGTGTTGCTAGGAATGAGCCCAGTTCTCGAGGTCTGGACACTGTTTGGGGCACCGAGGAACACTGTTCAAACTGGGCCCAGCTCTGATGGTAGTGGTGTCTCCATTTTCAGAGGTGGGGGTTCCCTGAGTCGGAACATGCAGGTGTAAGTACCAAAGCTCCTCAGGTCATTCTTAGGAGAGACAGCCAGTGAGGCAGATAACCAGTGGTTGTTAGGATCTTGATTCCACCTGCAGACTAGAAGGAAGGCCTGTATGCAAACCAGGATGTTCACCTTCTGACTTAGAAGGAATTGCTAGACACAATCACCCTCGCTCTGGAGAGAAGTCTGTGGGGAGGTGCACCAGCCTGCAAGGGGAGCGGTGGTGCCGTGCACAGAGGCCCTGGGCTTGGGCAGCACAGAGCGGCCCCCAGGCACTGCTTGAGCTGGGCTCTACTGTAGCTCATGCCCTGGGGTCTTGAGAGGCCCAGGAGACTGAACCCTAAGTAGCCCCAATAAGGAAGTAAAATGGGCACATAGAATGTGGGCCTGAATGTCATCAGTTAATAGAATAATCTGCAGCAACATGACTACAGTAAAAGGAAAAAGAGAATTGGTTAATATATTGAGTATTTTTCAAAAGAGCAAAGGCCTTTCTTTGTGCTGTTCTATATTTTATATTTATCGTGTTTGGAAACAGAAAAAGATATTGATGATGTTAATTTTCAAACACTGCTTTGCTAAAGCCCCTTGCCTGTGTCTGAGGCCATTGGAAGTGTTGTTGGTCTTGTCTTGGTCTGGTGGGCCGGTGGTGGGCCCGAGGCGGCTCCGCACAGCTCAGGGCTGTGTGCTTGGAAGTGGCTGGAGCTTGAGTTGGCAGATGGGCTTGTTCATATGATCTTTATCCTTCCGAGCTGTACTGTAGTTACCTAAAACCTGCCTGAGCCTGAAGGGGACCAGAAGACTCATGCTCTGGCCTGGCCGCCTGCGTGAGCCTCATTTCTGCTTGTGGGATGGTTTGGAGTGTTGGGCAGTGAGAGCAGGCTGCTGTGACCAACCAAATACCAGGCCTGGGAGACTTAACACAAATTTATTTCTTGCAGTTTTGGAGACGGAAGTCCCAGATCATAGTGCAGGTCAGATACTTGGTTTCTCCTGGGGCCTCATTCCTGCCTAATTTCATGCTGTGGCTTTTTGTGAGCCTACAGACAGACAGCAAACCTCCAGGTGTCTCCTACTCGCACAGAACGCCAGTCCCTTCACATTGGGGCCCCATCCTCATGACTGCATTTGATCCTAATGACTCCTTTCCTCCAGAAAGTCACAGAGTGTGCTGTGGTTTCAGCAAGGGGTTTGGAGGGGACACAGTCAGATAGGAGAAGTATTGAAAGGAGCTGTCAGCCGAAAGCTTTGGACACAGGTGAGATTTTGCTGCTGTTTTCTCCTGCAAGGCAAGGCCTCCCCAGGTTACAGCACAAGGACTCAGTCAGATGTGAAGTATGTTGATGAGGATTTTATGTGTATATAATTGTAATCCTTAGTCGAGGATATGTTTAGAGAGAGGAAGGGAGAGAGAGAGAGAGAAACATCATCGATCAGCTGCCCCCCCCCCCCGTATGCACCCCCACGGGGGTTCAAAATCACAACCTAGGCATATGTCCTGACCAGGAATCTAACCCACAACTCTTGCATGTATGGGACAAAGCTCCAGCCAACTGAACCACCTGGCCATGGCCAGAAGGTTATGCACATTTTATAGATTAACACAGACTGAAGGTTATCCCTGTGATAATGTCACTCTTGCTCCCTGCTTTCTTGTGCAGGAAAAAAAGGGTTGAAGTTGAGCTCAGCCCTGGGAGCTACCTGCCCTGGGATGTAAATACTTGTCTTCTGTTGCCTGTGGGCCTGGGTCCTCCAGGCCAGCTTCTTTCCCTCTGGGGAACTATTTTTAACCCGTACTGTTGTTTCCTTTTGTTAAGATTGTTTTTCCCCTTATTACAAAAGCAATGCATGTTCTCTGCAGAAGGGAAGAGAAAACTCCCGTGCCTATCAGCAGCGGTTCAGATGGAGTCCGTTGCTGAGCTCCCTGTGCTGTGAGGTGGCTGCAGCTGCTGGCACCCCCAGAGCGGGCAGGGGGCCGCACGGGCTGGGTGGCAGGCAGGCCTGAGATCTCCTGTGGAGGGTGGATTTGTTTTCCTGATGAATTCAGCGTAGCTAGATTGTGTGTCTCCCAGGGCGCTTGCCATAGACTAAAGTGGACATTGGCCGGAAGGGCCCCAGGTCACTGGGTCTCCTGGCGGCACCCACATATCGTGTTCTGGCCCTGACCCCCCCCCCCCACTCACAGCATTGCTTTCCCAGGCCTTTTAATTTTATTAAATAAGTATATGCTTCTTCTATTTAAAAGACTTCAAATAAGACAGACTAAACTGATGCACTACCCAGAAATAACTAATATTAACTTTTCAAAATGTTTGTTTAGAAATCATTTCTGCTCAGAGATAAATTACAAAAATAAAAATTTCCCTTATTCAGAGCGTCCAATTCCTGACATTTTAGCTCATTTAGCATTCTCACTTGTCATTCTCTCTCTTGCTGTCTCTCTGTGTATGTATGTGTATGTACACACACACACACACAAATACACATGTATGTACACATACACACATAAATACACATGCATGTCATTTGTTCTTAAGCCTTGGAGAGGAAGTTGCGTACTTCATCATCCTTTATCTCTAAATGCTTCAGTGTCTGTTTCCTAAGAATAGAGATGTTCTTACGTAACCACACACCAGTTGTCGATGTCAGTGAAGTTAACATTGACAACACCCCTCTTTCAGTTTGGTCAGTAGACCCTGAAGTTTCTTCTTTTATGTGGAGACCAGTCTAGGGTGAGGCATTACATTTCATTTTCCTGTCTTCAGTGCCCTTAATCTGGAGCAGCTCCTCAGTTTTCGGTCTGTCTGTTATGACGTTCATACTTTGGGAAAATATAGCTTCTCCCCACCTTGCATGAAGTTTCATTCTCAGCCAGTCCTGCACAGGTGGTGTTGGGTCCTTTCTCAGGGGCTCACAGTGGGGCCTACAGTGGCCATCTATCCCCACTGTCACTGGCTTTGCCCACCCGGTGAAGTGTGAGGACTGTGTTTTTGTCGCTGGCACCTGGTGAGCAGTCTGTGAGGAGACATTATACGGCTGAACAGGGTCCTTGTCCTCACAGGATTTCCGTCCGGGACCTGGTGTCTGTTGCTTCTCTTGATTGTGACAGTTGCACACGGTGCCCTTCTGCTGCAGCCCCCCAGCAGCCTCCAAGCAGTACCCTGTCATGCAGGAGCCCCCCAGCAGCCCCCCAGCAGCCTCCGAGCAGTACCCTGTCATGCAGAAGCCCCCGAGCAGTACCCTGTCATGCAGAAGCCCCCGAGCAGCCCCCCAGCAGCCCCCGAGCAGTACCCTGTCATGCAGAAGCCCCCCAGAAGCCCCCCAGCAGTACCCTGTCACGCAGGAGCCCCTCTCCCCGTGGCTCACGTGGTACTGTCTGTGTGCATTCACGAATTCTAGCTTTTGACGGCTTTTAATTAATGACTGTATTTAATGTTGTTCAGGCTGAAATTGTCCCAGACGTGACTGTGGGAACCCCCAAGCTGGCTGCTGTGTGCTGTGACATGCCCCAACATGTTCCTTAGCACTTTGTGTTCTGAAATCAGACACTTTGGCTCATCTGCTGCTGTCCCTGCCCCAGGCCTGGCATCGGCCACTTTTCCGTGGAGCCCTGTTGTCTTCCTGAAGAGGGATGTTAAAGGGTGTTTGGTGTGCTCATTGCTACTGTGCCCTTTGAGAGGACAGAGCTAGGAAATTTATGCATGTATGCACACACGTGTACACCGCAAGCAGGGGTCATGTGTTCGCACGGAGTGCTTTGTCTGACTCCCTCCACTCCTTATCGGTGTGTCGTTTCTTCACCCGTGAGCCTGGCTCCTGACAAGGTCAGCACGTTCTCGTTCCTCTGACGTGCCTAAAATAGTTGGTTCTGAAGTGGACTGCGCGGCACAACTCAGGCCCGCCCCTCCCTGCCCACACTGTCCACTTCCGGTGGACACGCTCTGGTCCCCCGGGTCCGGCTGCAGATGAATTGCCAGCACGGTGTGCGCTCTGACCTGGCCTCTCTGCGGACATCGCCGCACAGACTCTCATCCCGCGAGTCTGTCTGCAGAATGTCTTGTAACGGTAGCAGGGTGAGACTGTGCTGGGATTCCCTGTTCTTGGACTTCGATGGTGGAGGTGCAGTTTTTTGTTGGGATATATAAAAGTGGCACCAACATCTTTGTAACTAAATCTTAATTATTTCCTCAGGGTGGAAGTGGAGTTACTGGTCAGAGGGTACGTATATTTTTATGTCTTTCCAAGTGGCGGGGTGACGCTCTGGTGTGTGGCTCCCGAGAGTGCTGCTGTTTAGACCGTGTCGCCTCAGTGTGGCTGCGCGTCGGGCACACCGGAGGCCATTTCAGGAGTGATGACACCCAGGCCCAGACTCAGAACCTCTGAGATTCTTGTTTCAAGAATCTGGGGTGCTATCAGGACTTATAGGTTTTAAACGCTCCCCAAGAGATTTTGACATGCAGCCAATTTGAAAGGGGTAAGTGATACTTCATTGCAGCCGTCCCTCGCCCCTTCGCGCTCGACAGTCGCGGCTTCGCCTACGGCGGTTTTCTCAAGTGCCGTACGAACACGACCGAGCGAAGCCGCGACCATCGAAGCGCAAAGGGGTGAGGGACGGCTGTACATCAGTAAAGAATCCGACTTTGCGGAAATCCATTTATCGTGGTAGAGTCTGGAACTGATGAACTGTGATCAATGAGGGACGACTGTATTATAATTTTAATGTTCTTCTGAAATTGTTTCAGACAGTCAGAGTTGGGAGAAGTGGCCCCAGAAATAAAGGCCTCTGAGAGACAAGCAGCTGTGGCCATTGCAGGTAAGGTCAGCCTTGGCCGTGGGCCGCTCCACAGCAGACGTGGTCCTTCTGTCCCCTCGGGGCTCTGGATTCAGCCCCTCCCTCACCTGGGGACCGTGGGCCTCAAGAGTGAATGCACCTAAGACTTTGTTTTCCCGTTCACAAGGATATTCCATCTAGGGGTCTTTTAAACTCCCCTTATATGTTCAAACTAGGATTCAGTTTTAAAGGTGATGAACGCTTTGTTCTCTGGCACAGTTTGAGCATGTCATAACTGCCACCCCGAGACACACTGAGCATGACTGACTAGTTATCTGACCTGGGCACTTCTGACAGGGAAAGGTGTGTTTTGTTTGCTCCGCAGCTATAAAGAGTAACTGTCCCGGGCAGACTGGAGCTGTGGTCTTTCTGGTTATGGTCCCATGTGGTGGTTTTTCTTTCTCTGGAGATTTGCAGGGTGGTACGGTAGCTGCCCCTCGTGACTTCAGCTGTAGGGTGTGGCCACACTCCAGACATCTTAGTGTCTCTGAGTAACTCGTTTTGGATGTATTTCTAATTAATTTTGTGCTTCTCCAAATGAATGTGTTCTATTGGATATTAATATGGTTATGCAAAAGTAATCCCGCAAGATATGCAGATAAGTTTGGGTTAATCGCTTTTTGTTTTATTTTATTCAAACAAATATTTATTCAATGAGATACCACCTGACACCCAGTAGAGTGGCTACTGTAAAAAGCAAACAAACAGAAAAGAGTAAGTGTTGGCCAGGATGTGGAGACATTGGGACCCTCGTGCGCTGCTGGTGGGAAAACAGGGTGCAGGTTGGCACTGGGGCTGGGAGGAGAGACAGGTGGGAAATCGCTGAAGGGGCACAGAGGGTAACTTTCGCTGGTGCAAACGTTTGTAACGAAGTAGACAAGAAGTGGGGGTTGCACGGCTCTGGGACTGTCCTGAATCCCACAGAATCATTTCCTATAAGATGGGTTTCTTCTCCAAAGAGTTTTCCTTTTTTTGTTAAAATGCACATAAAATAGTATTTACTATTTTAACCATTTCTTTTTTTTATTTTTTTTTATTTTTTATTTTTTTTTATTTTTTGTTCAGGTGGAGTGGGAGGGAGAGAGAGGAACAGAGAGAGAGAGAGAGAAACATCGATGTGAAAGGAACACATCGAGTGGCTGCCACCCGCACAACCGACCAGGGCCGGGGACAAACTGCAACCGATATTTTAACCATTTCTAAGTGTGCAGTTCTGTGGCATTAAATACATTCACACTGCGGCGCGCCCTTCAGCACCATCCATCCCGTAACCCAATAAGAAATTCTATACCTTTTTTTTTTTTCTTTTATCCTCACCCGAAGACATTTTTTCGTTTTTTTGTTCAGATAGAGTGGGAGGGAGAGAGAGAGAGAGAGAGAGAAAGAAACATCGATGTGAAAGGGACACATCAAGTGGCTGCCACTCTCATGACCCAACCAGGGCTGGGGACAAACTGCAACCGAGGTATGTGCTCTTTGCAGGAACCGAACCCAGGTCTCTCTGGACCGTAGGCCAGTGCTCTAACCGCTGAGCCAAACTGGCCAGGGCAATACCTATTAAACCGTAACTCCCTGTTCTGCCTCCCCCCAGCCCCTGGCACCATTGTACTTTGTCTTTATGATTTGACTATTGCAAGTACCTCCTGTGAGTGGACTCTCACAGTGTCTGTCTGTCTGAGGGCGTGTTTCATGCAGCGTGAGGCTCATGCTGCAGCGTTTTGCAGGACCTCCTTCCTTTCAAAGGTGGAATGACAGCCACTACATGCACAGACCACCTTTTGTTCATCCATGTATCCGTTGATGGATACTCAGGCTGCTTCTGTGTTTTAGTATTGTCAATAATGGAGTTATGAACACGGGTGCAGACATCTCTTTGAGACCTTGTTTTCCATTTTTGGAGGCGTATACCCAGTCATGGAATTGCTGGGACATGGGGTAGTTCCAACTTGCTGATGAAACTAAGTGTGCATGTTGTTTTCCTTCCAGACCTGGAATGGAGAGAAATGGAAGGAGATGACTGCGAGCTGCAGTATGGAGGTAGACACCCAGGGTTTGGAGATGGGTAGGGCTGGGGAAAGTGAGAGGGAGTGGGCGAAGTGAGAACTTCCTGGGCTTCCAGACTTTGAACAATGGGGAGAACTTGCTGTCTTCGTAATAAACAGGGTGGCTTCTGAGTTCAGGTTAAAGTAACTGGGTGAGTCCCAGGCACCTGCTTTGATTGACATGCCTTGTCCTTTGTTTTTGTAGATGGTACGAATGAGGCTCAGGACAGTGACTTTCCAACAGGTGTGTGTTCCTCTCTCGCTTCTTCTGTCTGCTTGCTTCCTGTCCTGCTGGAGAAAGACGGCTCCAGTGCTGGTGTTCCCACACTGGCTGCGTCGGAATCACCTCTGGCCCGTTAACTCTTCATGTCAGCTTAAATATTAATAGTGTTGCTAGAAAGCCAAACCCCTGGGAGCTATTACTGTATAGAGTAATGTAGTGAGTTGGCATCTTTGAATTTTTTTTTATCTTCACCTGAGGACATTTTTCCATTTTTGTTGACGTAGAGTGGGAGGGAGAGAGAGGAAGAGAAAGAGAGAAACATCAATGTGAAAGGGACACAGCGATTGGCTGCCTCCCGCATGACCCCAACCAGGGCTGGGGATGAATCGCCAGCCAGGTACATGCGCTTGACCACAATCGAACCCGAGACTCATTGGTCCACAGGCCGACGCTCTAACCACTGAGCTGAACCAGCCAGGGCGGGAAGTTGTTTTTGACAAGTGCTCAAAGGGACTGTAGTGCACGGCCAGGTCTGTGAGTCAGTCATGTGGTTCAGTGGGTGCATTTGCAGATCTGCGGAGGGTTATGCACTGGGCATGAGTACAGGTTTTTCCCTACTGCACTTAACTATGTAACAAGTAAAGTCAGTTGTTCCATGTCTGATAAGAAAAACAAGGTCCCTGGCTTCATTCTGGCAAAACTCAAAAACCTGAATAACACTTATGAAGAGTTTCTTCTTTAGTGTGTCTCTCCCCACAATCCTTCTGTCCCTGCAACAAGTTCACCCACCCTGGCCAACTGCAGCCACACAGCCTGAGGACCTGCTCAGTGCCTGTGCGGACAGTGAGCAGCCGGTGGGCCTGGCGGGGAGTGAGACGGGCCCACGTGACTCCCACCAGCACGTGTCCACCTCCGGGTGGTGCTCCCTCTTCTGAGGAAGGAATGGAGAACCCTGGAGAGCAGGACTTTAATTATTTTGTTGACTTATTTAGCATTTAAAGTATACTAATTATATGTAGCATGAACATTGGTCAGAGGCCAAGGCAGGGAGATGGACAAGACCTGCGGTGGGGATGTGGCTGTTGTGGGCATCCAGCGTCAGAGTCCCGTCCACGTTGTGATGGGCGGCATGAATGCCTGGGTGAGTGAGTGCAGGGTCACGCTTTCCAGCAAACACTTGAGTACAATGAAAATGTAAACCCATATCACTCATCTCAGACTTACGAAATATTTAGCTGTGATTTGCAGCACCTAGTCTGAACTAGTTTCCTCTAAAAATTCTCCAGTTATTCTGTAAAGAGAAAAGAACATGAATGAGAAAATCGGAGCAATGCTGTGACGGTGTCACCTGTGGGAAGCTCCTGGGGACAGTGTGAGGGAACCGCTGTGGGCAGAAGCACAGGGTTTGCAGGGCGGTGGGTGTCGGGAGGACGCTGCCCGTGTCTGGGCACACAGCTCTGCACTGTAGCCAGTAATTGTGGCGGAGCTGCTGAGGCCGTGGGTTTCGAGGGACAGCAGACGTGCCCTGGTGTCCTGCCCTCTGTCCTCCCGCATCTGCCTGTTTGGAGCTGGGCGGTGTGGTCTGCGTGTGTCAGTCTCAGGAGGCCTGGGGTCCACTGTCCTGCTCTCTGCAGGAGGCTCCCCGCCCCAGGCCGGTGTTCCCTCTCTATCTCTACCCTGGGTTCTGCCTTGCGTGGTGAGCACTTACCTGTTCTTTTGCCTCCACAGTGGAGAGGAGCCGACTGCAGGAAATGCTGTCGCTGTTGGGACTAGAGACGTACCAGGTCCAGAAACTGGGCCTCCAGGACGCCCTGCAGATCAGCAGTGACAGCATGAGGAACTGGGCTCCTCAGGCTCCCAAAGATTTGCCCTGGAATTTCCTCAGGAAGCTGCAGGCCCTCAGTGCGGAGGCCAGGAACACCACCATGGTGCTGGACGTGCCCTCGGACGCCCGGCCCGTGGAGAAGGAGAGCCAGATGGAGGAGGAGGTCATCTACTGGGACACAGTTGATGACATCTCTGCAGACATCTACTCCTTCTCGGAGCTGCCCACCCCTGACACGCCTGTGAACCCCTTGGACCTCCTCTGTGCTCTGCTGCTTTCCTCCGACGGTTTCCTGCAGCAAGAGATCGTGCTGAGAATGTCTCTCTGCCAGTTCGCGCTCCCACTCGTTCTGCCCGACTCGGAGAACCATTCCCACACTTTCCTGCTGTGGGCCATGCGGGGCATCGTGCGGACGTGGTGGGCACAGCCCCTGCGGGGTGCGGGCAGCCTCCGGGAGGACAGTGTGGTGCTGCCCCGGGCCCCTGCCTTTGCCTTTGTGCGCATGGAGGTCAGCAGCAACTCCAAGTCCCAGCTGCTCAACGCCGTGCTCAGCCCGGGCCACCGGCAGCGGGACTGCTTCTGGCATCGGGACCTGAGCCTGGGCACCAGCCCTCGGGAGATCGCAGATGGGCTGGTGGAGATCTCCTGGTTCCTGCCCAGTGGCCGGGAGGACCTGGACCTTTTCCCAGAGCCTGTGGCCTTTCTGAACCTCAGAGGTGACATTGGGTCTCACTGGCTGCAGTTCAAGCTCTTGACAGAAGTGTCCTCGGCCGTGTTCATCCTGACCGACAACATCAGTAAGAAGGAGTACAAACTGCTGTCCTCCATGAAGGGGTCGGCCACCAAGTACTACTTCATCCTGAGCCCCTACCGGGGGAAACGGAACTCGAACCTGCGGTTCCTGAACAGGCTGACGCCTGTGCTCAGGATGGACCACTCGCACGTGCTGGTGAAGGTCAGCAGCACGGACGGTGCGCGCTTCGTGCGCAGGGTCCGGTCCATTGTGGCGAACGTGGCCCGGTCCCCCTGCAGGAGGGTGTCGGTGGAGGACATGGCCCACGCAGCCCGCAAGCTGGGGCTGAAGGTCGATGAGGACTGTGAGGAGTGTCAGCGTGCGAAGGACCGGATGGAGCGGATTACCAGGGGCATCAAAGACTCTGAGGCCTACTGCAGGGAAGAACTGAGGCTGCAGGGGGAGCTGTGGAGGAAGGTGGCCCGGGTGGAGAAAGAGCTGTGCCAGGCGCAGTGGGCTGGGGACCCTCCCGACAAGCACCGGGCAGAGCTGAGGCTCCGGCTGCTGGAACTCCGCACACAGCAGAGCAGCCACGACCCTGCCAGGGGCCTGCAGGAGTTTATCGCCGGCATTAGCTGCCCCTCTCTGAGCGAGAGGCAGTATTTCCTGAGGTGGATGGAGTGGGGGTTGGCCTGGGTGGCCCAGCCAAGACCGAGGCCGCCTCCAGAGACAGTTCTGACCCTGAGACCCAAGCAGTGTGGGGCTGGGGACCTCCGTGAGCTCCGGCCAGAGCCGCTGGGGGTGGAGCACTTCCTGCGGGAGATGGGGCAGTTCTACGAGGCAGAGAGCTGCCTTGTGGAGGCAGGGACACTGCCCGCTGGCCAGAGGCGCTTTGCCCACTTCCCAGGCTTGGCCTTGGAGCTGCTGGTGAGGGGGCTACCCCTGGAGCTGATTGACGGGAGCACACGGAGCACCCCCCTGCACTGGATCACCGGGCTCTTGAAGGAGCTGCAGGTGCGCCTGGAGAGACGATCACGGCTGGTGGTGCTGTCCGCACTGGGCGTGCCGGGCACGGGGAAGTCCACGCTACTCAACACCATGTTCGGGCTTCGGTTTGCCACAGGGAGGGGTCGTGGTCCTACAGGGGCCTTCATGCAGCTTGTTGCCGTGGCTGAGAGCTTCAGCCAGGACCTAGGCTGTGACCACATCCTGGTGATAGACTCTGGGGGTTTGATAGGAGGTACCCTGGCCATGGCTGGGGAGCGCTTTGAGCTGGAGGCCTCCCTGGCCACTTTGATTATGGGGCTGAGCAATGTCACCGTGGTCAGTTTAGCTGAAACAAGGGACGTCCCACCGGCCATTGTGCACGCCTTTCTGAGGCTGGAGAAAATGGGGCACATGCCCAACTACCAGTTTGTGTACCAGAACGTTCACGACACGCCTCTCCCGGGCCCGAAGCTGTGGGAGAGGAGACCGTTGCTGGAGCAGCCTGCAGAGGGGAGCAGGGCTGCCGCGCAGGTGGACAGGCAGGGTGACGGGCTGCGGACGCTGGCAGCCCTGGCCTTCTGCGACCCCGACAAGCAGCACGTCTGGCATGTGCCCGGCCTGTGGCACGGGGCGCCTCCCATGGCCGCTGTGAGCTTGGGGTACAGCGAAGCAGTGTTTGAGCTGAAGAGATGCCTACTGGAGAACATCAGGAATGGCCTGTCCAACCCCAACAGGAGTATCCAGCAGCTCCTTGAGCTGGTGAGGCTGCTGTGAGGCAGCTTCTCTGAGGCGTCCACCTGGGGCTGCACCAGGCAGGTGCCCTGTCCATGGCTGAAGGTAGAAAAGCAAAAGATGGGGCCGGGAGTTTCCCAAGCAGTGTTAAGCTGAGCGAGGCTTTGGGTTGTGTAGCGGCCCCGGGCACACGGCTCCACAGGAGAGGGGTCTGGAAGGGGCACTGGGAAGCAGACAGGCCTTCCAGTGAGCCAGTGTTGGTGGGTCCATGCTGCCTGTTCAGTGAGTGCCGTGTGGGCAAGTCTATTTATTGACCCTCCCCAACCCCACCCTGCTCGCTCTGCCACCCCCATCCCCTCAGCACCTTGTGGACACCTCCCCACAACGTGGACTTTCGCTTTGTGGCTCATCTGCTCGATGTCTGCTGCTCCCCCAGACTGTGAGCACCTTGAGGGCAGGGCAGTGGGTTACCCGACTCTGTCACCAGGGCTGGTGTAGACGCTTTAATAAAAGTCTGAGACGAATGAGTTTACAACAGTGACAGGCCATTCCTCTCTGGGCCGTAATGTCCTGTTTCCTCCAAGAGGACCAGAGTCTTCTGAGGGAGGGGTGCATGGTGGACCCCTGAGAGATGGTCCATTCTGCGTGGTTCCTGGGAAATAAAGCGTGCAGCAATTCCAGGGTGTCTTCATCACTGTTCCATTCTGTAGGTGAGGAATGGGGCCCAGAGCAGTGGACCCATGTGGGCAGTGAGCTGGTAGGGGCTGCTGCCCTCAGCGCTGTGCCTCTGCTTCCCAGACTCCCACGCGGCATACTCATCTGCCCGGCCCTTGGTGCCAGCCCTTCATTTCACTGCCATGCTCCTGGGACCAGCCCTCCTCCCTAGCACCCTGGCACACCTGCCACCATTTGAGCCAGAATTGGGGCCCACCCCCTGTTGATTCCCCAGTTGAAGTCTTGGCCTTTACTGGCCTTTACCAAGGTCACCTTGCTGAGCCTCGGAACCCAGTTCCAGCTGTGTCACTGGTTCTGGGAGTCTCAGCTTAGTCCTCGGGGCCCCCTTCCCTCTGTCTGTGGTGGCTTCAGGAAGACTCAGCTCCTAGGTTGTGACCAGGAACTCCTCTGTGTCTTTTATTCCTTTTGCCAGACTTGCTGAGGGAGCCCTGTGCCCTGGAAGGACCTCCATGAAGGCAGGCTCCTTGTCCCCTTTCTGCAGCCCCACCACACCTGAGGCCTGTGGTTGCACGTTATCCCCCGGTTCTGTGAGCCTCTGCTGCCGGACAGCAGGCAGCAGGCGGTCCTGGAATTCTAGAAACCAGATCTGCTGATCAATTCAGGAAATGTTTCCTCTTCTGAAACTTAAAAAAGAATCTGTAGCCCTGGCCAGTTTGGCTCAGCGGTTAGAGCGTCGGCCTGCGGTCCCGAGAGACCCGGGTTCGATTCCCGCTAAGGGCACGTACCTCGGTTGCAGTTTGTCCCCGGCCCTGGTTGGTCGAGCGGGTGGCAGCCACTCGATGTGTCCCTTTCACATCGATGTTTCTCTCTCTCTCTCTCTTCCTCTCTCTCCCTCCCACTCTATCTGAACAAAAAATGGAAAAATGTCCTCAGGAGAGGATTTAAAAAAAAAAAAAAAAAGAATCTGTAATCCTCAGGCAGCAGAAGCTCATCTGTTCTTGGATCAGTAAGTTACACAGATGTCATGTTGGTTCACTGGAAGTACACCAGATGTCCCATTGATTTCTTCCCCAGGCCCTCGGAAGTTACCGGTGCTTCTCCAGCACAGTGGTCTTCACCAGGTATTGCTGGGCCACAAGTCTGCACTGGAAATCTGTCTTAGAATTGTTGAATATCGACCAGTTTCCTTTAAAATGGATTCTAGCTATTGCTGAAATCTGAAACAGGGAAGCAGGCCCTTACTGGTTCCTTACAAACCAAGGGTTCTTTACTTGGGGGGTTATCCATTGTCCAAAGTTAAGGTTCAGTCATTGAATTCCTGACAAGTAGTTGTGTGCTTATTCTTCTGGGGAATGAGTTCATAGCTTTCCATAGATTTTCAAAAAGATGCACTTATTTTTTAATTTTTATTTTTTCCCCTTTATTGACTTTAGAGAGAGGAAGGGAGAGGGAGAGAGAGAAGGAAACATCGATGAAAGAGAACATGTCCCCCACTGGGGATTTGGCCCACAACCTGGGCATGTGCCCTGACCAGGAATCAAACCGACGACCTCTTGGTGCAGGGTCAATGCTCAACCACTGAGCCACACCGGCCAGACACATTTATTTTTCTTAATGATACATAAAGCAGTGTCTGCAGTTGACGTTATCTTAATTTTACTGAAACACAGCACCTAGTGGGGCTGGTGTCAGAAAAGTCTGTACCCATGTAACCTGACAGGGCAGTTCTCCCCAGCCCCTCAGATGTGAGTTAGCCTAAGAAAGAAAAGTCCTTTCTCTGTTTCTGAGTCAGTATGTAAGAAAAATGATTCTGAATGGTCCTGAGTTTCTAATATGTCAACAAAACTAGTTCAGAGTGTGGCTTTACAAGTGCTCCTGAGTCAGCACCGCAGAAGAGAGTGCCCAGGTGTTTGATCCTGGTTGTGGTGACGCCACCTCTCACCCCACAGCACCCACATGCTGTCCTGTGCCTGAGTCTCCTTCCACCTGTCCTTGGCCATGTCTGGCAGGCACTTCTTCCTTAGGATGTCCTCTGTCCCACCACCTGAGGGGCCGTGGCCTGTGAGTGCTCCTATCGTGGTCCTTGTTGGACCTCTGGTCTGCTTCTGTGCCCTCCCCTGCCAGCTCCCTGCTCTGGAAGGCAGTGTCAGCCCATTTTTGTGTCCTGATCTGTCACGGTGCCTACGAATCAGGAAGCGAGGGCTCAGATGCCAGCACGCGTGAGGCGCAGTTGGCCACCATCTACTCAAAGCCCCGTCGTCATGGCCTTAGCTCCAGGCCCCAGTGTGGCACAGGCAGGGACTTTGTCATTGGTCCCGTCTATAGACTGGATAGTGCTAGCTTGGGACGTAACCCACTGGACCCCCCCCGTGCTGTGCCTCAGCAGTGGAGAGGGGTGTGGAGAAGGAAACACGGGGTCAGAGCCCCTCCGGCTACCAGTACAAGAAAGGAGGATGGTGCTGTAACTCGGGCTCAGTTGTGGTTTGGCGTATTTCCCAGAGTGGAGCTTGGAGCCTCTGGGATTCTTCCTGGTCAGTGGGTTGGTTACTAGGAGAAAACGAATTACCAGGAGTAATGTAACACACAGGTTTATGAAAGTGAAGTGTGAGCAGTTCTGAGGATGTCTTGCGAAGAGAACCAGTGTGAGTGGGATTTTTCTGGGCTGACCCTGCAGCCAACAGGAGGGCAGGCTGCCCTGGCTGAGGCACCCCTCCCTGAGGCTAGACTCTCGTGAGTTCCAGGAAACAGACACCATGTTCCTGCTGGACAGTGCAAGTCCAGGGGCCTAGAGTCCCTCTCTCAATGTCGTCCACAGCTGGCCAGTGCCCGGATACAGGTGAGCCCTGGCCTGTGCTCAGAGACATCAGAGCACCTGGCAGGCGTGCACTACGTCCAGCCCCCTCTGAGGGAGCTGGCGTAAGGAACATCCATGTCTTTCCCCCAGGGGACCCTGAAGGTCAGGCTCTGGGAGTCTGCTGCATGAATGTGGCATTCAGGGCACTGATTCTCAACCATGCTGCAATCTGGATCATTCCAGAAGTACTGAAAAAGCATGGGTGCCAACCCCTGGTCCTGCACTTGGGGTGTGGGGCCCAGTGGACTCACATGAGCAGCCAGGGTTGACAACCTCTGCTTTGAGAGCATGAAAGTGACTGACTCCTGGTGATCATGAGGAGAGCAAAGAGCTCGTGTCTGAGAAAAACAGTTATACATCCTCATCTCCCCAGCACTCTGACTGGATCCCCTAGTGGGCCCTTTGTGTGTCACTTGTTCGTAGATGCGGCCGCTGGTTATCCAGGAAGTCCCTGGAGTCTGACCTGAGCAGTTTGTGCTCAGCCATAGAAGCCGAGGCCATCCCCCATCCTGCAAGGTTCAGAAGGCTCACACCCACACAGTCCTAAGGTGGAACCCCAGACTCTCGCTACCATTTGCTTGTTCTAACCTCAGGTGAGTCTCTGTCGTCCATCTTCTGACCTGCAAAACTTGGACAGTATTGCCTTTCACAGGATTGATGGGGCAAGCAAAGTGCATCGAAACCCTAACCAATGAAAATTACAGAAAAATAAAACATCCCATTAAAAATTTCTATTGGCAATGTAAAACGCAACAATTTATACTGATGTATTAGAATTGTCCTTTTAAGTTACTTTAATAGTGTAAACACTCACATGACCCCACCCCCCACCCTCATCCCCGCCATTCAAGGAACCAGATGAAATTCTTTTGGTAACAAGGCATAGTATAAAAAAAGACAATATTTTAAAAAGGTGGTAGACATGAAAGATCTAGACCAGTTGGTAATTACTTGGAGACATCTCAGGAATAAAGAAAAATAAGTTTGATCATGGTATTGCCAACTGCCCCGAGCAGAGCCTGGACCCCAGGCACAGCAGCTCCTTTTCAGCACTGCCTTCTGCACTCAGAGTCAAGGACATGGTCACCTTTGCTGCAAAACCAGCCACTTCTCTCTGGTTAAGGAGGCATTTCTGTGAGTTCTCTCTTGAGGAATAGCGGGCTCATCTCCCTAAGAGGATGTAAGGATCAGAGACTCTCTTCTTAAAAACAGACAAAGCAAAACACGCCCCCACAAACATTTATTAGTTGCTTGCTCTGTCAGACATTCTACTATATAATTTTCAAAACAATCATCATTGTCCCCATTTTACAGAAGAGGAAATGGAGGCTCAGCAAGGTCAATGAACTTGTCTAAATTACACAGCCAGGAAGCAGTAAATTACAAAGTCCCATATTGCTCACCACTTTGAAGTAGATCTATAAAACATCAAATTATAGAATTTTCAAACTTTATGGAAAATAAAATAGTATCAATTTAAAAGGCTCCTTGAGGAATAGTTGCAAGTTCTTATATTTGCAAAATATTGTGATTGGAGAGCATCTCATCCCTGTTCTGCACCTTTATCCAACATGCAGAGAACAGTTGGAGGCCACAGTTAAAAAATTAAAATAGCCCGGCCGGTGTGGCTCAGTGGATGGAGGTCCCAGTTCAATTTCTGGTCGGGGCACATGCCCGGGTTTCAGGCTCGATCCCCAGTGGGGAGTGAACAGGGGGCAGCTGATCAATGTTTCTCTCTCACATCGACGTTTCCATCTCTCCCTTTCTCTCTAAAAAATCAATTAAAAATAAAACTCTACTAAAAGAAATAGAAAGAAAACATTTCTAGTGAAGGGGGCATGAAAGACAATGTCCTTTTATTAACTTTTTCTTTGTCATGGAGGGTCATGGAGAACGTGAGCTGTTAGGCACTCTCCCTCCACCTTTGCCTGCATTTCCCTCCACATAGACAGCAGTCTTGTCCGCCCTCCCATGGGAACGACTGTGGCATCAGGGTGGGTGATGTAGGTAAAAAAAAAGGGGGGGGCGGGGCAAAATGTTGGCAATTTCCACATGATTCAATCTGACAGAAACAATGACAAGTATTTATCCTGACAGCTCTAGGAGGTGGTATTATCAATGAACCCATTTTATA